ACCCCCAACCGGTTTTGGGAAGATTCTAGGGCGTTCCCTGAGCCGGTTTTTTGTGTTTTTTCTTTTAGTTTTTATTTCTTAGTTTTTTTAATTTTCTGTATTCCATTAGTTTTTTTCTTTTCTTTTCATTTATCGTCTTTTCTTTTCTTTTTTCTTTTTATTTTTCTTCTTTACTTTTTCACCCTTTTTTCACGAACTTTCTTTTCAAATCCACAGACATGTTTTTTGTTCATTGAATTCAAAAAAATGTTCCTCGAACTTAAATTTTGTTCATTGGGATTTAATTTTTTTCCATCAAAATCCTAAATGCATTCACCATAATCAATTTCTATTCATTGTTTAAAAATATGTTCATAAAATTCGAGATTTGTTCATTTATTTCAAAACAAATTCATCAAATTCAAAATTTGTTCATCCGTGTTTTTTCAAAAAAATTGTTCATCTAACTGAAAAATGTTCACCATATTCAAAATTTGTTCACAATAATTTTTAAAAATGTTCATCAATATCCAAATTCACTAGCATGTTTTTGAAATAACAAACATGTTTTGAAATCACGGGCATTTTTTAAAATGCATGAACATTATTCAAATTTAAGGACATTTTTTGGCTCCATGAACTTTTTAAAAATTCTCATCAATTTTTGAATTTGGAAAAGTTTTTAAATCTCAAATTATTTAAAAAACAAAAAACAGAAACGAAATAAGACAACTATGGGGCTTCCCGCTGCTACTCATGGGTTGGCCCAAAGTGGGCACGCGGGGGCAGCGGCGGGTGCGCCCGCGTGCTGCGCCATATAGGAGGGGAAATTCTTACCCAAATTCTTCCTGGCGCATGCGCATCATCTGGGTGAAACGGGCGGACAGTCTTGCATGCATCTGTGTGTTAATTTTTTTTGTCTTTTAGTGCATGTGGCTGTTAGTATTAAATGTGAACACGCTGATTACCTCATTCCGAAAAGAACAGATTCACGCATATTTATTTTGAAGTTTAATTTTTTTTAAAGTCATATCTTTCAAACCGTTTGTCGGAATTCAGATCCGTTTTCACTGCTGGAACTTTTGCGACGAGATCTTTGAAACTAGATCCCGCATGGGTATATTTGGACGAAATTTTTTAGATACCAACTTTGATGCTATATGATGCAACTTTATTATTGTATTGTGCAACTTTAGTACTACATCGTGCAACTTTTTCCAAAACTATTTTTTGGATATGCATGATTCAACTTCCTATGAGAATGAAATCTAGCAACCACGACCATTTTGTTGTGCAACTAGTCTATTGTCCCGACCAACTACCTAGTAGTCAATGTGCATCCCTCCTTCGTACTCGTGGATGTGTAATTTTTCACTGTTCGCGCACCCTACCCCCACCTTCCCCTGCAAGCGATATGTGCAACTTAGTCTATTGTTCAAGCCAACTGTCTATTAGTCAATATGTAACTCATTGCCATCCCTATTTGTGGACATGTATTTTCAATTGGCGGGGCGATAAATAGAGTTGCACGTCGTCTGCTAGGTAGTTGGCCATGGCAACATATGAAGTAGCACATCTCACAGGCAGAGACAGTTGAATGGTGAAAAATTGGCATTCATGAGGGCAGTGAAAAGTTGCATATAAATAGAGTGCTAAAGCTACAAATCTCACTAGCGAGGGTGATTTGGGTCGGGTGCTAGCAGGGAAACTACACATTCATGGGGGTACGAGAGAAAGTTGCACATCACTGTTAGACAGTTGGCTGTGGCAGTATCCCAAGTTGCACATCACTGTTAGGCTGCTGGCCGATGCAGCAAATAGTGAAACACATCCACGGGCGGAGGAAATTTGCACATCAACTACTATGCAGTTGGCCCTGTGCAACAGACGAAGTTGCACATCTCACTAGAAGGATGTAGTTTGCGGGTGGAGGTACTGTTGGGGATATTACTATCAGCTGAGACCCACCCAGGAGGGGCCGGGTCAGCCCCAATGGCGGGTTACGCAAGAAGCCCAGTAAACATCCAAGATTGTAGTTTATTAAGTATTATAGAAGGCCCAATGGCCTGAAGGTGGTTTAAGGCCTGATATTATGAACCGCCATATGTAAGGAAAGACTTGTAAAGAAAGGCATGTAAAGAAAGTCACCGAGCCGGACACGATTATGAGCCGGCCGGGACTCTGTAGGCCACCAGGCGTCAACCCATGTATATAAGGGGACGACCCGGTGGCGGCTTAGGGAGGAGAGAACAAATCGATAACCAAGCCGGCGAGTTGAGCCTCTCGGAGATCAAAACCCTAGCAATACCAAACCCAACTAGACGTAGGCTTTTACCTTCAGGGGCCGAACTAGTAT